AGGACTCATTCCTGCAAGAATCTATTAGGGGTGAATGATTAATCTATGGGGACATTTTTCTATCTATATTCGAGAGTTGTGTAACTGTATCTCAATCCGTGCATGCATAATCAGATCTCTAAATGTGTGTTCAGAATCTGAGCATGTGTAATCACATTTGTAAATGTATAAAAAGAAAATATACAAATCGGTATTCAGATTTGCAAATGTGTGGACAAATCTGTAAATGTAAAATGTGCAAATGTGCTCTTGGAGCAAATACAAATACCAAATTCTCAGCCATTAATATGTATGTCTTCATTTACAGATTTGTCCACACATTTGTGTCATGTGGCATGTAGTGTAAAAGCGCTTTGAGTGGTCAGAAGACTAGAAAGGCACTATACAAGATCAAGTCCATTTACCATTTATCATTTTCAGATCTATATACGCATTTACAGATTCTGAACACACATTTCCTGTACATGTTCACAAATCTCACTACGTATTTACAGATTATTTTATACAGTTACACATCTACATATGCACACATGAATTGAGATACAACTCACATTTGTAAATAATTTTGCTGCACACTCTTGAATAAAGCATGAAAATACCCCTATATTAATCTTTCTTATATCAAAAGTGCAATTTTGAAATCATGGGAGACGCAATTTTAATTCTAACTTGGAAAATTACGCACAATCTTAAAATGGTGATTGAGTGAAAGTTTTTGTTTAAGCAGCTGTAGTTTAGTAAATTTAGTTAGCTGACACTCATAAACATCAATCAATTGTTTTATTTAATTCAGAGTTGGCCAAACTATAAAATGTGTGCAGTGTACTATTTACACTTGAGCAAACCATGTTTGTCCAACTAAGAAACACAAACTAGCAACATGTATACTTGTCTAAAATCTGATCGAAATGTATTATTAGAAATCCCTATTGGTTATATCTTCACTTTTTCAATTGTACAATAAATTCATAATCATAAATAAAATGATTATAAAATTGCACTTTATCATCATATTAAAGGTCACATGTTTTCTAAAGTCAACCGGATTGGATGCAGCATCAGTGTGTGTGAGACCTGTTAGGTATGTGCTCCAGCCTGTGTTTGGGCAATATGGTCACTGCTGGACTTCTGACAGATCCAGCCACACTTCCTCTGCTCAGGTCCGTCCTAGATGCCGACTGGGCGATGGTGCGGATGCTGTTTCCACGGCGAACGGGAGACTGGAAGTTTGTGACGCTGCCGTTCCGTCGGGGCGACGGAGTATGGATGGAGGCCTCCTGGCTTGTGACGTCACTTTCCTGCTGATCTGGCTTTTTGTCCGCTGCTGCCTCTGGAGCCTGCAGTCTTGCTAAGGTTGGGATAAATGTCACAGGGTGAGGGGTTATGACACTACAAGAAATAATGGAACACACACGGGAAGCCTGGAAAAACACCAGATACCTGCAGCCATCTGGAAGACTTTCTTCTTGTCGTCAGTCCGCTCCTAAAGAGATTAAAGGAAAATTGCATCTTCAGACATGTTTAGACCATTAGATTGTAATGTTCAGCCTAGCACTGTATGTAAGGATTATTTTTAGGATTATTATTTTCAACTTTTTCGCTAAAAAATTATGGTTATTTGGTTATCACATATTGCTGATTAATGTTGTGTCGATCGACTCATCAAATCATTTAGATTTACTTTGAAACAGTGTTGCTATATGATGACCAGGGAGTGCTGGTATATTTTCAAAGGTCCATTGTGTAGGATTTAGTGGCATCTAGTGGGTTAGGTGCAGAACACAGCTAGCTGAGAAACTACATACACATACTTATACAGCTTGTGTTGTATAATTATGAAATAAGCTGCGAAATTTAAATGTGCTATGATTGAGACATATTTTGATTCACTCCTACAAACTGTACATGCAAAAAGAATTATTGCCTGATCTACTTTGATAATGACTCATCAGAAACTCACAGTCTGGAGCTGCATCCTCAGCTGGTTGTTGGTGAATTTGAGGGATCTGGCAATGGCCTGGAGATAGTATATCAGCATGCTAAAACACACAGGGATAACAGTCAAGATGGCATGTTGATATGTAGATATATGTGTGTGTGTGTGTGTGTGTGTGTGTGTGCGCAGTCTTACAACAGCAGCAGCAGTGCTGGCAGCACTACGACAGGGCTGGTGATGTAACTCATCACTTTACTGAACCACAGTGGGAAGTCACTGGCCACTGTCTCTGAGATGATGTCATAAATCTTTTCTTGGCCACTGAAACACACAGTACAATACAAACACAACCGAGCGTTGGACGATATACCGGATGGAATTGTACACTGGTTTTAATTTCCTGTATGATGTGAATTCTTCATAAATAGCTGAAACAACTGCTGTAACTCTTCATTAGGCAACTATTGATTTTGCAGTGAAGAGCACTACAGTCTGGGGTATTATAGCTTCATAATTTTTAAACATTTTCTTAAAAATTTTATAATTTCCCCCTGGGATTATTAAAGTATTTCTGATTCTGATTCTGATTCTGATTCATAACACAAGTTATGAGTTATGTCCCCCTGTAAAGTAGCTTTAGCAGACCCAATAGCTGATTTTTTTTTCCAGCAAAAAGTGTATAATTTCCACATTAAAATCCTTAAAAAGGCATCTAACAGAACTGTTTCCTGAGTCGGACAGATCCGGCTTGAATGAATGTCTGGGCTGTTTTCCGGCCACCCGACATAAGTCGAAGTAATTTATACATGTAAATGTAAATTTTCATATACATACATCAACATTTACATGTGTAATTATTATATCAAAGTTACTTTAATGAGGGAAAGCCGCAGGAACGCTTAGACCGTGAACCCTAACCCAAAATTCCCTGCTTTCCACTGCTGAAGCCTCAGGTACTGGCCCAGGGAACAATTCCATCACCTTACTGTGGGGACTCAAGACATCATTGACCATGGGAGGGCATCCAGCACCAAGAGGGGGCCCATCAAAGATTACTTTTAGCTCCACACTCTCACCCTGGAGGAAACCCCTTCAAATCCCTTAATCCACTTGCCCCTCTAGTGCCTCCCACGGTCCCCGGCTGCCTGCCCCCAGTGGCATACCACCCACCATGTTTGTAGCAAGTCTAACTACTACCGAGGGTTCTCTCAGCACACAATCCAACAACAGAGGTTAATAAACAAGACCACTTTATTTCTTTATCAGCCGCACACACTATTAATACAAAACTTAGCCCACTTTAAAAGTCAATGAAGGTTTGCTCCGGCCAACCCAGGTCCAGCACACTTCTGCCTTAAGAGAAGTGAGTGTGATTACTCAATAAGTACCAGCTGAGATAATCAACTCACCTGGCGCTGTTCTCACAAGCCGTCTCCACACCTCTCTCCTGCAGCTGATTGTAAACCACACCCTGGTGTTCAGAATGTTCTGCAGCCCCATACCAACAAACTGTGATGCACTGTGTGTTCTGACACCTTTCTATCAGAACCAGCATTAACTGTTTCA